GGGCGTTGTGGGGCAGGGGGGCACCGGGGGCGCTCACTGGATGTAGGTCTCGTTGCGGTGGTACTTGCGAGCGAGGTAGCGGGGGGCAGTGGCAGGGGGCGCTGTGGGGCTGGGGAGGGGGGCGCTGTGCGGTAGGGGGGCGCTCACCGGATGTAGGTCTCGTTGCGGTGGTACTTGTGGGCGAGGTACCGGGCCGAGCCCTTGCTGGGGATGCGCACCATGGAGATCTCCTTGTTGTAGCGCGTCAGGTTGCAGGGCGTGGGGCAGCTGCAGCGATCCTGGGAGTCCTCCACCGCCGCGTCTGCCCGGCACATGGCAGGGCATGGGCCTCGGGCCCCACTCCCCCCCAGCTCCCAGCCGCCCCCTCCCGCAGCCCCAAAGCCCCCAGCACACTGGGCAGGGCGGGCCCCACGGTCCCGCGCGGGGGGTGTTCTCCCCACCAGCCCCTCCCCCCGGAGCCCTGGGTGCCAGCTGCCCTCCCCTCCCTGCAGTGCCAGCTGCCCTCCCCCGCCATGATGCCAGTCCCCCCACCCTCTTCCCGTGGTGCCAGCTGCCTCTCCCCCTCCCCGCAGTGCCAGCTGCCCCTCCCCCTCCCCGCGGCGTGGCCATTCCCTGCTGACCCTGGTGGTCCCGGGGGAGGCGCGATGCCGGGTGGCACCTACCGAGCGTCCGGTCGGCGCATTCGATATAGACATTGGGCGAGCAGATGGACTCGTTCCCTGGGAGAAGGAACCAGGTTAGAGATGCCCACGGATCCCTGCCAGCCCCGGCCTGCCCCAGAGCCGCTGCCAACCTCGGGTGCCTGGCTGCCCCACTACAGGGCACCCGCCTCGGCCCCCCAGGGCACCTGTTGGCCCCACAGCATCCCCTCCTCCCAGGGTGCCTCCCTTGGACCCAGGTGCCCCCTCCCCCTGGGGTGCCCTGCTCAGCCTTGGGGTCCCCCCCAGACCCGCAGCTCCTCCTCCTGCCAGGGTAAAAACCCCTCTTCCCCCCAGCACCCGCCACCGTCTCCCTTACGTGGGACGTGGCTGTCACGGACCCCCAGGATCGGGGCCACGGCCCCTGCGTGGGGACAGGCTCTGGGAGGCCCAGTCAGGGGCCAGGCCCCCCGTAGGGTCTCACACCTTCATCGCCTCCTGGGCTGGACCCCTGGGCCTGCAGCCCCCCTGCTCCCCCTGTGAGCTCCAGGCAGCAAGTCCCCCTGAGACAGACCCCGATGGAGACTTGTACCATCTTGGGGGGGCAGCGCCCCCTCCGCCAGCGTCTGCAGGGACACGCAGCCAGCGCGGGCCGACAGGCAGCAGCGGGATGCTGAACCCACCAGCCGCATTTCGCAGTAAGTGACGCGCAGCAGCAGGACGAGGGGAGTGAAAGACACAGCAAGAAAATGGTGCGAAGCCACCGCCCGGAGCAGCACTCGCAGCCCTGGGCCTGGAGCGGGGGTTACGCGTGTGGAAACTCAACAAGGCGCATCTCATTGTGACGACGGGGGGGATGTTCTTAGTGTTTTCCATGAACAGTGTGTGTGCCTCAGTTTCCCTGTGTGCTGCGTGTGTAACGAGGGGTGGGAGGATCAGGTGTGACCTCGCCTAGCAGCTGAGACCCCAGACAACGGTCTGGAGATGGGGGACAAAGCGACTGGTGACCAGGAGGCCCAGCCCAGCTTGGCAGTCAGCCGGTTCTGGCCAGTGGGAGGACAATGGGCTGGCGAGAGAGGATCCCAGTGACCGGACCAGCCGGTTCCAGCCAGGGGTGAGAACAAAGGACTGGAGAGAGGAGGCCCAGGTGACCTATTTACCTGGGACTGCAGACAATGGACAGGGGAGGAGCCGTAGTGGGAGATGATTTCGGCTGATCGGCTGGAAGGAGGGGGCGGCTGGACTGGGGAGAGCGGAGCCAGAGCCCCCCCGGAGGCTGGAGAGACCTAGATGTACTGGACTGAGGGTTGCTAGGCCCAAGGGCCTGCAGAGTTTCCTGTGCTGGGTTCAGACGCTCAATAAACCTCCTGTTTTATGCTGGCTGAGAGTCACTCCGGACCGTATGGAGCCAAGAGAGAGCACGAGTGACTTCTGGGTACCTCCTACAAGACAGGCCCAACAAAGAAAATAACAGAACACCACTAGCTGTCACCTTCAGCCCCCAACTAAAACC